ATGACTTTTCCACATTAGGGATGAGTAATGAAATTTGATAACTAGCTTCAAAGAGTACAATAACAGTTGCATTATGAGCAGTAAATAGAGACTTTAATGTTACTCTTTTCTCGAAATTTTTCTTTAGAGTTTGAAAATAAATCAAATCTGAATTAATATGAGCATTGTGTTTTGCCTTCAAATATGCCTCAAGGTGACCTCATTTCATTGATTCGTGGTCAGACATTGCTGGCATAAAAGATAAAAATGTGACTATTCATCGTGTATAGTGGGTATGAAACGAAATTTTAAATATTCCTTCTGACGAACTTTTTTTCTTGCTTGCATTACTCATTTCATTTGGGCTGAAATAAATAAATATAAGTTCAATTAAAAATTTTGTCACACCACTAAATATGAACAAAGTTGAAAGCAGCTGCTGTTGCATTCAGCGGAAGAATAATTTACCTGTTGCCGTTCCTACAGTTAAAAAAAAAAAAATTGTTGGCTGACATGTGCAAAAAACATCTGGAAAGCGTAATGTGTCAGCTATTTAAATACCCTTTAAAAACATTTAAATGTTTATGTCTGTAGTGAAAATTCTCTATGAAATATTTAAAATACAACACAGTTTAAAAACTTTTTACGTATACATCACTTACATTATTTTTTTTTATTTCTGGGAATAAAAAATTAAATTTTGAAAAATTTCGACTTCCAGCAGAATATTTTGAAATTTGAGTATTGCTTGTCCCCATAAATCTGGACGAGACCATTTTTGAATTGCCCCCTGTGGGGTGTGGGCTCTATGTTGGGAAACACTGATATAAGGATTATGTGGCTTTTTTAAGTGTGAAGTGTTTGTGAAAAAATACACTTAAGTACTCTGTTGGAAAAAAAATTAAATTACTTTCCGAACAACCCAGTAACTCCTATCAAAGCTAGTTGTGTTTGTACCAACTGCTATATAAACATAAAATTTAAAAGCCAGCATCTTTATCTAGTTTGATCCATTTGAGTATATATATATGTATGTATGTGAATTAATATATATATATATATGAACTCTATGGCACAGATTCCCAATCTCTGTTGTTTTATTTATTTAATTGAATATTGGTGATCTTGAAACATAATGATTTGGATTTTGAACTGTTTTTGTTCTGAATATTGCATAAATACTTATTTAGTTGATATGAAATCCATGCTTGGTATTATGGTATAGTTTGCCTAGTTGTGGTGTTATTGCTGATAGACTAACCTGCAGCTGATTTTCTGGATGTGTTAGTCTGTTTCTCCATTTAGATTTCATTATCATTACCAAAAATATTGATTTGCACAAATACGTGTTGAAATTGATGCATACATTTTATTATACCATGTGTACCATACCACGAAGCATTGGATCAAATGTAAATCCAAAATGGGGGATATTGATATATCTGGGAGGTTTGCTGTAAAACAATACGAAAATTTATTTTCTTGTCTGAGGTTAGTTCAGTGGAATTTTGTATGTTGTTTTCAGTAAGTCTATCAGAAGCAAAAAACCACAGTGATCATGCTCAGTTCGAAGTAATTCATATGCAGTAAATTTTGCATGAGGCCTTTTTATATGGCATAAAATGCACATTTAAATTCTAAAACTTCATGATACTTCTTTATGAGTTTTATGATGTATCGGATGGGAAATACAATTGTTTTGTGCTTATTCTGTGTCATCTTGTGAACACTTGCACAAATCTGAATACCGTTTATTTCTTCTTTATTGATGCTTTTAGATACATCTGTTTTACTGCGATGTTACAAAAGACAAGAGACCAATAAAGACCAACTAATTAATATACTTTCTAGATGATATTAAAATCTTTTGATATGTGATAGGTGATCTGCTTAACCCCATGTTAAGTTTTTGCATTTTTTAAAGTTACAATTTCTCTAATGACTATATTCTGAAAATTGAGTTTCTGCTGTAATGTTATACTTTTGTGGTTATTGTTACAGTTTTTTTCTTCTGACACCACTTGTTATGTTATTTTCTTCCTTCACGTTCGTATGGATTTGGAGTGAATAATGATGACACTGCTTGTTGGCATACTGGCTAATAAAGTGTGATCAAAACACACTTTATTAGCCAGTATTGTCAGGACAGCTCCAAAACACGTTTTACAGTTGTTGATGAACTACTATAAACACGCTGACACGATCAGCGACACAGCCTTCAGGTTATCAGGCTATCCCGGTGGAGACAGCTTCCTGCAAAGCACCCGACTTTGCTTTTCGGAGTACAGCTCCCGACTCTGTATGGTCGTTCTCGGAACTCCACATACTCTTGAGACTCTCTACGCTAAAACTCGCGATGCACTTGACGACACACGAGCACAGCTCCCGACTCTTCGGTTCAGTCGTTCCCAGAGCTCAACACGCTCTCTTGATGAAGCACACTCTCGGAGACACTTCACTCGATGAGAGACATACAATCAATACTACTCTCTCGCAATCTATGCGAGGGCACACACACACACACAACACACTAACTGACTGCGGACCAGCAGGAGTTGATATAGCTTTCGGCTTGTGTTTGAGAACATTCTGGGCTAAACCGGTAAGAACTCGTTCCAGAAGGTTCTCCATCCCTCCATGGTATATCGCCAAATGGAAAATTTCTCGCCAAATTTGGCAATCCTGTTTTCCCTTGCTATTTTATGGCAACCCTAAAACTACTTTGCGGGGAAGCTATCTTACCACGCCTGTACATTTTGTAACAATATCTAAAAAATAAGTCACAACTTTCAAATTCTGTATCTCTGCAAAACAATTTGCTTTCATTTTGTTGCTGTTTTAAATTAGGGTTATGATATTAAGATAATTTTTTATCATTGAAGAAGTTAATAGAATGCTTTACTAAAATGATTAATAACTAAAAAATAGCATAAAATTAGTTGTTCATTGAAATAAGCTGAGGAAAACATTTAGATAATCTTAAAATCCATCTTTTCCCTACTTATGATGCAATAAAAGAGGGTGAGTAACCACTTACATGAAGTGCAAGATTAACTTTTAGGTGAAATATCTTTTACTAATTGTAAGAATAATCTGGTTAATTGATTGGAAGATAGAGGTAACTGGAATTGTGGGTAATTGAAGAACAATGTAAAATTATAATAATAAGTATTTAATTTTCATCATAATTAGCAATTTAATTATTGGATATTGCTAAAGTTTTTAAACAGTAACTTTCTTGGTATTGGTGTAACTTTACTGTTTTAACCACTTACACTACAACTAAACTTCACGGTTGCAGTGCCGTGCGCTGCAATATAACAAGCGGTAAAGTGTCTCATTTACGCCGCTTCACGTCTGCGAGTGCAATCCAGAGCTGTAACTCGAGAAATAAACAATCTTGCTGTTAGGCGACGTGTGCACCATGTTATTTTAATTTTTGCACTCAGTTTGAGACAAAAGTTTCTCGCCGTGCGTGGCACGTCTTTTTAGCGCAAGTGGTTAAATGCCAAGCCAATATTGAAAACACTAACTTGTAAATCAATAAGAAACAGTTGGCTTTCTATTTGTAAGATGTTATCTCTTTTTATTTATTGCATTTGCATATTTTTTGGCATATGTAGTGTAATTTCTTTTTCCATAAACTGCCTTTGAAAACATTCCATCCAAAACTCATAGACTACAAAATGTTTACTATAATAATGTAATATGTAGATAGTTTGATTATATTCTGATATTTATATTATATATTTTCACCTGACCTTGTAAATGCTTTTGAAATTTTCAAAATAATTAATATGTAACTCAGCTCATGTATCTCTCTGTCTTGTTAAGGGGTATGAAACTTCATAAAGGAATATCGTGAACTACAATATTATATTTTTTTGCAGTTTCTTTGTCATATTTGTTCTCTAAAATTTATATGTATTATGAGGCAGAGTTGATAATTTTATTTTAAGAAATTACATAACGTTTTTAATCTGACTTTCATATAAACACTGGAAATATGACTGACTTAGTTTACAGTATTTAGTACTAATACCCCACCGATATTTTAGAAATTAACTAAACTAAACCCGGTGGCACAAACAGCCCATAGAGAGCCATGGCGGGCAGTGCCCTGATATCTGTTTTCTAGACCATGGGCTCTGGAATGCTTGTGTATCTTATTCTGGGCAAGTGGTCAGCTTGTCACAGCCCCTCCCCCTATTGGTGTTTAGTCCCCAAGCAAGTTTGGTACTCATTTTATTTACCCACTCCAAGGATGAAAGGCTGAGTCAACCTTGCCCAGCCAAGAGATTGAAACCCAGACCTGTGGTGATGCTGTTGTGTTAGCCACTGCATCACCGGGCCATCTTTAGAAATTAACGTTCAACTAAAAAGTTGATTTTTGACATTGTCTGTAAAGATTTATAGAAGTAAAGATAGTTTTTCTAGGAAATCGTTAAAAAGATTAATTTTGTATTTTTAATAAGTTCATTTTATATTCATTTTCTCAATTAATCCTGTTGCTTAAAACATTCATATCTTATTTTTATAATTTTTTTGTTTTGTATTTTGATGACATTTTAATGAAAATGAAACCTTGTTATCATTTTTAAATCAGGGATCACAAATATTAAATTTTCATATTTTTTACCTTTAAAATAATTAGTCTACAGTAATATGAGCTGCATAGTTATACTGCATTTGAGTACATATGAACACTGATACATGAAATAAGATTATTTGAAAAACTAATTTAATTTTTTTAATTTTTTTGAGTTTTGAAAAACTAAGTTTTAATCTTTTTAAGGTAAAATGATGCTATATATTAAGTGTGTAGCATCATTTTGCCTTTTTCTTTCATTAGTAATCCATATGTGCCTGTCTAAGATACAAATAGTATCAGTATACAAGAAGGCTGTATTGATGTTGAATTTTCTGTATGCTGTTTTCTTTATATAAAAACATTTGACCAGTTTTATTATATTAAACCAATTTGGATGCAAGTGTAATTTAACTTTTTGTTAACTTTATAGATATTAAGAAAATACCAAATGAAAGCGAAAGGTTATCAACGAATTTATCATATGTGGATATCGAAAGTGATTTTTTAACTTTGCCATCATCTCCTGTGTTTCCTTCTGAACCACAGTTTAAAAGGCCAGCGTCAGTTCCTAATACATTTTACAAACCCTTAGGATCTGAAGAGACTTATTTCAACATCAGCAAAATAAAATCACTTGGTAATCTAAAAGAGCATCAATGTTCTCCTGCATTGAGTACATTTGAGGTACTAAACTCTTTTGAAAACACGAAGGAATCATCAACAGTTGCTAATGAATTGAAGTGGAAACTTAAAATTGAAAAAGATGTTAATGTGTTACCAATTAGATATACAGAGGAAGAAAAGGCTACTGAGATGTGTCTTGGTATGTATTAGATTGTTATAAAAAGAAATATAGTACAAAGTCTGACATCTGGATTCATCAGGCCTTTACCATTCTAAATTCAGAGATATTTGTATTTATGTCAGCAATTTAAACTTAGTAAGATATATGATTAAAAATATGAAATAATTGTTTATTGAATAATGAAGCATTTATGAGCTTAAAAATTCAACATTTGCCAAAAGAAACAAGCATAATAAATAAATAAATAAATAAATAAATAAATAATATAAATAAATATAAAAAATAAAAATAAATCTTTGCTTCATTGAACATTTTTATCAATGCAAATTGTTTAAGCTGTTTAATTTTTTTATGATATTACTTTCTGTTCAGTTTTATGAATAGACACAATTTTTTTGTTCAGTTATAAAGCTCCATTATTCTATTCCATTAATTGCCATGTCGAGAACTTTTATTTAACTGTCCATCAAAATCTTTTCCATTCTCTAAAACTTCTTGTTACTTTCTTCACTATCAGAAGTAATATTTTATAGGTACTACATATTTTGGTATTTATTAGTTCTTTACTGATTGGGGCACTGTCATCACAGGGAAGTTCTTCTGTTATATCATCTTCATTTATTATCACTTTTCCACATTTCTCCACAAATTCTATTAACTAGAAAATTTTGCCTTGTGTAGCATTCAGAAGCTATGCTAAAATAGGGTTCTTGTTTGTAATTTGAAATCACACTTCCTTAAGCCTGAGTTGCTCTAAGGCTGCTATGGAAGACAAGTACCAAATATGTTTTCTTTTTGCAGATCCTGCTACAACTCCAGAATTACAGACTCTTTTTAACAGAATCGAAAATTCAAACTCTAATTTTCATAAGGTAGCTGTAATAATAATAGTTTGGAAAATATAACAAGGTGAATCAAATGAGAAAGTTAAGGAACAGTGTGATTTGATGTGTTAACTGGGCTTAAGTTCTTTGGAATCTGATTCTTTCCTTCTCACTACTATGTCAACAAAAGAAATCTTATCATAAACAAAATTCCTCCTCAAACAAATGTGTCTAGGGGTTTCAGTTATTGTTTAGATCAGATAGAAAAAATACTATTTCTCCTCCATAATTACTTAAGGGCCAAAAATGCAGTTGTTGCTAACATTAGTCATTGTATTGTCATTGACCAGAGTGGGATTCTTTAGTCAGAAAGTGTTTGAAAGAGATATATGGGAATCTCAGCTGAAAAAAAATTCACTTTCACTGCATGTCCCTCCCCTTTTTTTAAGTATTATGTTCTCCATTCTGGGCTTAATAAAAATAATTGCTGGAAGTCCCAAGGTCCAGATTTCAGACTTTGTACTGCATAGTATTTAATTTTTTTTATATATATATATAAGCTACACTGCAATGCAAAGCACAAATTACAGAATGCAGAGTTGAAATCTGTGCTTTTCTTGTCCATTGAACAATAAAAATTACATCTTTCATGTGTAAATTAAATGTTTTTATAAAATGCTTTTGAGATATGATGAAATGAGTACCATTGTTAGATTGTAGTTACAATATGAACTGAAGGTTTTATTTTAATAAAATTTTTAATTTATTTGTTTTCTCGTTAGAATTCCAACACATAGTTTACAGAATTCTACTTTGATAGGCTTGAAACTGGCAATTTCAATTAATTTTGGCCCATAAAATGACTTGTCCTCAAAAGTTGCGAAATGGTTTCAGATTGGTAATCAAGTAATGTAAGATTAGCTGCCTTAGAGAATACTGATATTTTACCGTAATTACTTGGGCAAAAATTAGTCTTACGAATTCTAGAATGCAGCTTTAAGTCAGAGAAAGGAAGGTTTTCAAAACAACAGTTGTTTGAAGATATATCCAACTATTTGTTCTCCATTATGCTGAGTATGAGTCCATGAATATGGATGACTATATTTAACAGTTGTCTTTTCAGCATATTTTTATTAGAAGAAAATGGATAAATGTATTGTCTAGACAGGTGGTTCTAATGGATTTTACCATTTAAGAGAATACTTACCTGAGAGAACGTTAAGTCTATCATCAGTTATGAAAGCAAAATTTGTTATTAGCTATTTATTTAAGTATAATTAGGGTTGAATGAATAGATCTGTTTATATTCAGCAGATCTTAAATGGGTTTACACATACCTTTTACACACATCTTAAACTCTTACCATATCACGGGCGATTTCTTGCAGTTAGCGCACAATATTATTTCCACTTCATAGTGAAACCATTGTCCATTAAAGGGTTAAAAAAATGAAAACATTTTCTCAAAAATCCAAAATTTAATAACACTTTAAAGTGTGATATTTTTCAAAATGTTTACTGTTGTGGAAGGGTATACTGCAAAATTTACACATATACTGTATTACATTGATAGAATACACGTGAAATTGCTGCAAAGTACTGCAAAATTTACACATATACTGTATTATATTGATAGAATACACATGACATTGCTGCAAAGTACTTTTCTTTTTTCTAATTCCCCTGATGGGTTCTAATGTATATTTCCTCATGACCAGGGAAAGTCTTCCTGAAGAATCATTCTTTGTTCCTTCCCCCCATCCCAGATGTTAATGGTATATAGTGTTGATACTGTAGATAGTATTGAGGGATGCCTGCAGGAGACAGATGCATTGCCTTATCAGTAAAAAGAAACCAACACATCACAGCTCAGCTGGTGGTGAATGAGTTTCTTGCTGCGGCAGGACAGTGGATCTCCAGAAAAACTGTAACCAGACATTTGGAAGGAGGAAGACTGTTACTTACATCTGTTGTATGTTCAATGCTGTCTGAACAATAGATCCATAAGTTGTATGCTAAGAGACTGTCATTCAGTGTTATTCATATAGGATCCTAGAATCTGATATTTGTTGGTGCAGTATAAACTAGACTTCCAGTGTAAATTCAGATACTTTACATAATGACTTAACTATTTTAGCAGTTATTGTCATTAGTTAAGTTATTATGTTATCAAAGTTGGCATCCTAGCAGCCAATAATTACAACATGGAGAAATTCATCTGTGTCTTTTTATTTGACGTTTTGAGATAGTTCACCATAATTCATGTGTAATTCTGGACCTTTGAGTTTCCTTCGTAGTTGTAGTAAGTGCAGTCTTTAAACTATTTTAGAGGATACTGAAGTCGCTTGATTAATGCTATATTTGGAATTGGTAGGAGTACAGTGTATGAGAAACCAGCAAGACCATCAGATTTTAATTTTTGAATATTTATGAACTGCTTTGAGAGACTACTTATAATTTTTCAGCTTCTTTGTTAAAAATTTGGTGAAAATTAATTTTTGAAAGTACTCATGAAATTACATAATCTCTTTTGCCTTCTCTGCCTAAAAGTATAGCTAATGAACTAATATAAAGTTTTTATATTTGTCGGCAGATTAACAGTTAGTATGTCTCATATATGCTGTTTAAAAAAGATTGTCATGTGCTGAAGTAAAGGTAGTATTTTAGTCATAATTACTGTATTTACTTGTATATATTTCCCCCTTGCACTCCCCAGCTTAAACATAAGATTCTAGAAATTTTAAAAATATTCACAGTTTTCCCCCATTTTGAAGGGGTTTACAAAGTAGGCTTCCCATAATTTAGAAAAGGAGTTAAAAACTACAGAAGCAGTTTTTTAAATGAAAAACATTTCTAAACCAACAGTTTTTTAATAATGTTAGAATACATGAGAAAGACTGGATGTTGTCCAACTTAATGAAAGAGAAGTTGTATGGACTCATCAACCAAAGCTGGAGCTGGTCTAGGTAAGAAGTTACTGCCAGTGTTAGAAAACTTCAGAAAATATCTTGTGGAAAAAATTGAATTAGACAAACACCATTCCTGTCATAATTTCAGGAAGATTTACATCACTTCTGCATATATTACACATATCAATAAAAACCATTTAAGACTTATCTCCAAAAATTTTATAACAAGCAGATGTCAGGAGGGTCTCACCATTTTAATCAAACTGGAAAAATCCAGAACTATTTACCGAATTGATTTGCTTATAGATTTTGGATACGTGGTCTGTGATTGATATAGCTGCAATAGTGAGGATCTTCAAGAAATGGTAATAATGCTGAAGATCACTGTATTCTGGAAGAAGACAATGTGACAAATTGCAAGCATATGACACAGAGAGCAGTTGTGATTGGAGATACATTGAAATAGAAATGAAGATATTTTGTTAGATATTGTAGTGGTAATATTTTATATTCCTGTTGGAATGTAGAGTTCTTTTAAATAAATAATATTGTATAATATTGTGATAGTTAGCAATAGTTTATCCATGAATGCTTTTAACTTTTCCCCTAATTTTTGCTGCATCTTTTGGAAGTTATATTATTTGCATAATTTTCATGATAAAATTAATAAAAAAGTGGTAAAATATAATGACGTAACTCTTTTAGCAGTTATTGTCATTAGTTATAAAATAATAATGGTATGTGCAGCATAGTTGTTTATTATTTGATTAAGATGTATTTAATGGTAGAGAAATTAGTATAGTTGTCCTTCTCAGTGGTTTTTTTTTTTTTTTTTTTGTGTGTGTGTGTATGTGTTGCAGCATGTTCATTGTTGAAACAAAATAATTTTTTAATGATCCCTATAAAATGCTTAAAATTTAAGTGTAACTGTTAAGTTTTTTTCTCCCTCCTTCTCCAAGTGCAATGCATTTAAATTGATGAGATGTTTCTTAAATTCAGGCCTAATGAAGCTTGTCCTTAACTTCATAACAAGAACTCAAGATGTCACTGCTGTTTTGAAATTAGTGAAACCTGAAATATTCATTATCCTTGCTTACACAAAGAATCCAGAAGTCTGTGCTCTTGCTATAAAAGTAAGTTTTATATGTTCTTATTACTTATTTTACTGCTCACATGTAAACAAAGCTTTAGAAGTCTATTTCAAAAAACCTCATGTTTAATTTTCTAAAGTTTGTGTCCACATGTTTCAAAATAAATAAAATAAACATAAAATTTTTTAAATGTTAGGAATTGCATCTTAATATTTCTTTCTTTTCTAATCCTTTCCACCTCACCCATGAGCATAGTATGGGACTATAAACTTCTAATAGTTGTTTGGGTCTCGTCCCAAATAACACACACTAAATAAATTCGCTGGTTCGATTCTTTATTAATTCTCATAATTAATTACAATTAACTCATAGCTGTGACCAGCCCTCTTATACCGTCGATGGCGATTCTCAAACTCGTTTGATCATCACATTACAGATGCGCATGCGTGGATTACATTACAGATGCGCAGGCGCGAACATGCCGCCCCGCGTTGCAATGCTTAGCATTCAAATATTGTAATTAAGATATAGCATAAAAATTAAACAAGTATATCATAAACAATTTTGAATAAGTACTATTACATAAAAATCATTTTTAAAATTAGACATTTACCATATACATTAGCGTACAACTCAAAGCAATACAATATAACATTTCAGTTACATAATGACATTTTATGTGAAACACATTCAATACTGTACAATAACTATAAGGACAATACTCATTTTTGTATTGGTAAGACACATAATTTGGTAATTGGTCGTTTGAAAGTTCCAGTTTTAGTTTTTACATTACACACGCGAACCTTTCCATCTTTACCATAAAATACTTCTATTATACGACCAACCGCCCAATTACAACAAGGCAAATTATCTTTAATTAAGACCATATATTTGTATATTGTATCCTCCAACTTGTATGTTGTTTTTAGAACTTTGCCATTTACATCGATTTTGTAAATGACTTAAATAATTGGAGTTTTATTTTTTCCAGATAATTTGTACTAGTTTTGTGATCTGTTGCCACAATTTTAACCTGTTAATGTTAACTTCCGTGATATCTGGCTTAGGGATCGAATTAATTGCTCTACCAATTAAAAAATGCCCGGTGTTAGAACCTCTAAATCATCAATGTCCGAAGACAAGGGTGTCAATGGTCGGGAATTTAAAATTCCTTCAATCTGAATCATAATTGTTCAAATTTCAATTTTGCATTACCTACGACACGTTTGAAATGGTACTTAAAAGATTTAACTCCAGCCTCCCAAAGGCCTCCAAAATTAGGTGCTCTGGGAGGGAGAAATTTCCATTCGATATTCTCAGAACTCAAGATAACCAGCTAAAAGCTCATCTTGTTCGTTCACTAGTTTGTTTAACCTCTTTAATTCTGCATTTGCACCTACAAAATTCGTAGCGTTATCACTAAATAGTGTTAAACTTTTACCTCTTCGTGCAAAGAAACGTTTCAAGGTAGCTATTAATGCTTCAGATGTTAGGATCTGTTATCAGCTCTAAATGAATGGCCTTAGTAACCATACAAATGAATATACACACATAAACTTTTTGATATATACCTTTTCTCTGGTTTTTGTACTTAATTAAGAATGGTCCACAGAGGTCAACTCCAGTACAATTGAATGTAAGATTAGCTGTGATTCTTTCCTTGGGTAAATCACCCATGATTTGCTGAGCTACAATGGGATTGGCTTTAAAACATATTATACAATTTTTTACAATTTTTCTACAAACATTTCTACCACTTACAATCCAAAATTTTTCTCTTATATGATATAACAAAGACTGAGGACCCACATGCAAATATTTTAAATGATAATAATTAACTATTAACTCTGTTAATTTATGTTTAGAAGGCAGAATAATAGGAAATTTTTTCTCATAAGTTAAATTGCTATTTTTTAATCTACCTCCAACTCTCAACAGTCCATTACTGTCAATGAAAGGGTTAAGACTTTTAATAGAACTATTTCTTATACAATACCTGATTTTTTAAGATCATTTATCTCATTTATAAAATACTCACCCTGTACTAATTTTATTAAAGTTTCTTCAGCTGCTCTCAATTCTCCCACTTGTAAATTACCTACCTGCTTTTGTTCTTGCTTACAATTCTTGTAAAACCTAAAACAAAAACTTATAATACGAATTAATTTTAAATACTTATTACTGCAATTCAATAAATCATTAATGAAATTATTCACATTCAGATTTAAACATGTAGATAGTTCAGAATCAGCAAAGTTTTTAAGTTCATTACTGTCCTTTTCATTAATTGCTTCAGGTATAACTCTTATAGGGTACTCATCCTTCATTAAGAAGTCAGGCCCGTTCCACCACAGTTGACTTAGTTGCAGTTTTTTGGCAGACATACCTCTAGATATGAGATCTGATGGGTTTTCTTCAGAAGCGATATGATGCCACTGTGCTATTTCAGTCAGATCCTGTATCTTTGAAATCCGGTTTGCAACAAATGTCTTGAGAAGGTGTGGCTCTTTGTTGATCCATGACAGCACAATCATAGAATCGGTCCAAAGGTGAATAGCAGTAAGCTCCAATTTTAATGATGATTTCACTCGATGCATCAGTTTAGCTAATAGCACTGCTGCGCAAAGCTCAAGTCTTGGGATTGTAGTCTTCTTTAGGGGGGAGACACGCGATTTACTGCACACCAACCTCATTGATGTATGGTTTGTTGCTGATGTTGCTTTACAGTAGATAACTGCTCCATAGGCGGCCTCTGAGGCATCACAGAAACCATGTAATTCAATCTTGATTCTATCCGGTAATAAAATACATCTAGGGACTTCAATGTTGTTAATTAGCTGCAAGGTAATGGAGAATTCTTTCCATTCTTTAGCCTCCTTTTCTGGCAAAACATCATTCCAGCTCAATTTTAACAGCCATAATTTCTGCATAAATATTTTTGCTACAATTATAACTGGAGAAATGATACCCAACGGGTCAAAGATGCGAGATATGACGGATAACACTTGCCGTTTCGTAACCTTTTACGTTTGTCTTCGATTTTAACGTTGAAGCTCAAACAATCTCCTTTTTGACTTCCGTAAAATACCCTAATGCTTTAGATTCTTCTGATTTACCAAAGGGATATGTTTTGTCGTTTGTTTGACACAGTTCAGTAGCATTACTACACCACTTATGGAGTAACATACCTTCACTCTTCAAAATGCCTATTAACTGATTTTGAAGTTCTAACGCAGAACTTAGCGACTCAGCTCCAGATAGAATATCGTCCATGTACATGTCTTCTCTCAGTACAGGTGCTGCTAAAGGAAATTTATCTCCTTCATCCTTTGACAGCTGTACAAGTGTTCTCATTGCTAAAAATGGTGCACTCACAGTTCCATAGGTTACAGTGGTTAGCTCAAAGTTTTTAACTGGCTTATCAATGCCTTCTTTCCATAAAATCCTTTGCAACTTCCATTGATCTGGATGGATAGAAATAGCTCGATAGATCTTTTGTATATCAGCAGTGAAAGCAAAAATATATTTCCTGAATCTCAGCATAATTGAGAATAAATCATCTTGTATCACACCTCCATTATACTGTATAGAATTTAGAGAGTTTCCTTTGGTTGTCAAAGAAGAAGCGTTAAATACTACCCTCAAGGGAGTCGACTTACTTTTCTCTTCTCCCCTATATACTCCAATATGAGGAATGTAATATGAACCTCGTTCCTCCTCGCTTTCACTCACCTCAACCATATGTCCTAACTGTTGTTGATATTCTTTTAAAAAATCTGAATGAATATAATTTTAAATATTCGGGATTCTTTACTAAGCGTTTCCATAAGGAATTTAATTTACTCGTTGCAATTTGTTTAGAACTTCCTAAAGTGTCCGGATCCTCCTTTAATGGCATTTTAACAACGTACCTACCGGTTTTATCTCGTGTATAATTTTCTACGAAATGTTTCTCGCAAATTAAAAATTCTTTGTTTTTGGGTTTATCAGTTTCAATATTTTCTAATTCCCAAAATTTTCTAAGAGTTTTATCTAAGTTGTCTTCTTCCTTTATCAACCCACAATGAACCCTGTTTTCAGTCTCGGTTGGAATACTTCCAGACACGATGAAACCAAAAACTGTATCTTGAAAAATAAGATCAGGATTATTCATTCGAATTTGACTCGGTTTCAAAAGTTCATAAAAAACTCCCGCTCCCAACAACATATCTACCCTTTCTGGAACATTAAATCCTTCATCTGCTAATTTTAAATTAGGAAGATCTTGCACTGAAATTTTAATTTTGCGCGAAGGTGTTAAATCAGCAGTTATTTTTGGAATTACTGGAAAAAGTCCAAATTCTTTATAAAAGTTCCTTCTTTATTGCATATCGAAGCATTAATTTTATGCTTTATTGTTAAAGTAGCATCATTTATTCCCGAAACGGAAATGTTTGTTTTTTCTTTCTCTAACTGCAAATGCTCAATAAAATTCCGTGTCAAAAAGTTCGACATACTGCCCCCGTCCAGCAGACACTTCACTCTGTGTTTTTTTCCCTCGTTATCAATTAAGAAAACATACGACTGGTTGAAAGCAAGAACTGTATTTCTGTTTATTCGAATAATTGCTAATAAATGCCTTTTGAATGAACTCCTGCGCATTAACATTCAAGGTCGATGAGTCATCTCGTTTGGGAATGTTGCAGTCAGATACATTTGTTTTCTTTTTATTTTGTTCTGATTCCTTTACGATATTATTTGCTTTCGGAAAGTGAATAGTTTTGTGGTGCCGTTTTTTGACAAAAACAAGAATATTTCGATGGGCAATTTGATACTGAATGCATATGTAGACAGTTAAAACATAATTTATTAGATTTCACAACCTGTACTCTTTCTTGTACTGGTAATTTTAAATACGATGGGCATTTTGCCAATCTGTGATTCTCCTGGCATAAAATACAGTTCTCTGTTTTAACATCTGATAAAAACACTTTAGCTACACCTTTTGAGCTATTATACTTACGATTAACATGAGAATTCTCAATAAGAGGTTTTCCTCGTGACGTGAAATATAAATCTATTTCTTTACCTAACTCACTAGGTGAAAACCATGAATCACCTTGCCTCACAGCAATGTGAGAAGCTGTTCCCGTATCTAAAGATTGGTATAATCTATCTGTCTGAAACTATTAGTTGTTTGAGGGTCTCGAAGTCAGTTACCTTCCTTAATTTTAAATAATAATCCCAAGCAGTTACTAAGCGTGAAACGCAAACTGCACATGAGTTTCATGTGGTTGTTTAACAGTTTTTTTCTGAAGTTTTCTAAACACGAATATGGTGTTGGCTGAAACTCCTTCAGAACTACTTCTTTTACTTTTTCATAATTCGCGATATCCTTATCATGTAAATAGGTTATTATATTCGAAGCTTTGTCTCCTAACAGATTTAACAGAATTTCTGCTTTATAGTCCTCCTCCGAAACATTTTTTGTAATAAACGCTCGTTCTAATGACGAAAAGAAAAATCCCCACTCTCAGGCCGTATAGGAATTTTTACAGTTAAGGTTCTGATACTTTTTATTAATTGATCTAGTGACTCTGATTTTGTTTCGGTTTCGCTTACACCATCAAGTTTAGTTTCTGCTTTAAGCTTAGCCAACTCTAACTCATTCTTTGATCTCTCAAGTTTTATTTTATCTAACTCGACAAGTTTTCGCTCTTTTTGCTCTTCCTGTTTTCTATTTTCGATAATAGAGTTTGCTATCTCTTTTACTAAATCTTGTTTAGTTTTGAAAATTTCACTATTCTCAATAATATCAGTCAAATCTGCTATAGTCATTTTTCGTCACATTTGATTTAGATTATTTCTAAGGCAATAAGCCTTAAATCTTCTTTTTTAGCACCCTTAAATAACATTGTTATTTATAACAGAACAAGCACAGAAAGTACAGAATTAACAAGAGAGGAATCACTTACCTCTGCAGTGATTCACTTTTGATGAATATCCGTATCCAAAATTAGCGATATTCGTTAAAAAGAACAAGCTTGGAATACTGGCAAACACAAACACTCCTGTGTTCTCAAAAACGAAACACTATTTATTCACGCTCCGGTCGACTACGACCAGATATGTTTGGGTCTCGTCCCAAATAACACACACTAAATAAATTCGCTGGTTCGATTCTTTATTAATTCTCATAATTAATTACAATTAACTCATAGCTGTGACCAGCCCTCTTATACCGTCGATGGCGATTCTCAAACTCGTTTGATCATCACATTACAGATGCGCATGCGTGGATTACATTACAGATGCGCAGGCGCGAACAATAGTCGTAATTCATCTTAATTCCATCATGATTTTTAACTGTATTTTATAAGTTTTTGCTGTTTTTTTAATAGGTCATTGATGCTTATTTGAAAGCAGCTGATGAAGAAGTTCGGAATGATTTCTTGAACATGAAAGGCTTTCACTTGCTAGCAAATCAGCTTTTCCATTGTCCATTTGAAGTTCAAGTTATCGATGCTTGTTTTTCCATCATATATGATTGTCCTTTGTCATCTGTGAAAGAGTAAGTATAGTAGTAATATTTAAAAAAAAATTATATGCTCCTAGTTTTAATTTCTCTGTGTATCTCTGTGTATTAATGTACACAATATGGTAACTGACCTTCATTGTCAGAATCGTAAATTTTACGTACCATTTTAACTCGTAAGGAGACCTGGCAATGCCTACATGGATCGCTGATACACTTACTTGAACAAAATTATCAGAACACCCAGTAAAGTTGGTTCTCCTGCAAATAAGTAGAAAATTAATATGGTTTGAATCTGCCTTTTCTGCAATTAATGTTTCCTGTTTATCAGAAAAGCTGTCCTCTGGGTTCTGATAGGTTGCAATTAGAACTGAACTTCATTCTTGCAAAAGAGACGTCAGTTCTGTCTCTAATGCGAATCAGCATGTTCTGGCCTATAACTGACTTCTAATTCATCTCATACATGCTCTGTAAGGTTATGGTCAAAGCTGTGTTTAAGTTGGTCTAGTTCTTCAACATCTAAATGGGCAGACTAGGTTTGTAAATTGTGGACAGGTGTACAATCATGTGCTAATAGGAATGATCTCATGTTGTATTGTTGAAATAATATAGCCTGCATGAAAGTATTGAGCTATGAATATATTAATATAAAAACTTCACTTTCAAACTTCATTTTGAGTACTTGGATAAGTATTGTTCATAGGGTATTCTGTATTCTCACCCATCAGATGGCCAGATTGTACAACAAGACGTTATTGCTCCATAGTACACATTACTGTTGTTTAAAGCTGTAATGTTAAGACTGCTTTAAGGTATTATTACATTAGTTACATGTGGCTGTTATACCATGAAAGTTTAAAATGTAGAGGTCTCGGTGAATTGTCACTGTGCTAGCTTTACATCTGGAAATGTCTCAGACTCTACAAATATTTTCTGCTGATTCTATGTACTTTTGTTTCACAAACCTCTTCAACATTTTCAAGTCACTAGCTAATGAATCAGTATATTTTTATAGTGAACCAGGTCATAGTTACATCAGTATTTCATACATCAGAACCTGATGGAGTCATGCAACCATGACCAAATTAATTCTAATTCCACGTGTTTCATCTGGTTTATGATAACCATATTTTATGCTGGAACTAGGAATGGTTAATATAGCAGAAATTTCAACAACAAATTTTCTTCAATCGTAATGCTGTATCATTTCATCTTTTTTCAAAGGTATTTAATTCGTCTTTTTCATCTGTTTTGCACTTTTTACCTTTCAACATCTATTGTGAACTTGTTTCCTTTTATACTTGTTTATGAATTTATGATTTGATGTCAGTAGTAGAATTTATTACCCCTTGAGTATGTTTGAATATTTTTGATTATGTGCTGTATATAGGGATATTAGTAGAATACTGTAGGAGTACTGTGGGTATGGTTTATAGGGGCAAAAGTATTTGGCTATGCAAGTATTTTTTTTTTAATTAGTTTCCCGTTTGTAATGTATATAAGTAATCCATAAAGCATATCTATGAAAAAAACCCTTCATATAAGCATTCCCATTAAAATGTAATCTTAATATATTTCATCATAATCAGCTATCTGAAGCTCATTAAACAAAATTTTTAATACATTAAAATAAAATAAAAATTTTAAGTAAATAGAACTATGAAAAAACTACTACAGATTTCTGACAGAAAAAGAACTGTCTCTTGCTCTAAAAATTTAGCTTTTATGTGATGCAAATTTAACTGATGTAGTTAATTTATATCTACTATTGGCTTTTAATTTTTGTAATGTTTAGTGGTACAAACTAAAATGGGTCATGTGACATTTTACTTTTTTGTTTTAAAAAAAATTTATCGATGAAACAAAGTACGCAAAATTGCTATTCGCTTTAGTAGATGTTGCTTTTCTTTTTATTCCTGATAGAATAGACAATAAATGAACAGTGAATTCTGCATTTTTCTACTTTTTTTTAAAAAAAATTAATTATATATTACTGTATTTTGCAATTTTTTTTAGAAAATTGATATATATTATTGATAAACTGTATTTAAGAGATTTAAACATACACTCATGGTTAGTTAAAAAAAAGGTTATTTGGTATAAAATTTAGCAATGTGTTTATTTTTCAAGGTTGCAAATACCTGAATGTAGAAAGCCTTCAAACTTTCGGGTAATGGCATGGCTACCACTTCTTGCTCTTTTACCAAATGGAAGTGCTTACGAGGATGTATGTCATATTCTTCTTCTAAGTTTAAACCAAGTGAGTGAATTTTACTTTCTGCATAAGAATAAAAAATCTTTTTAATTGAGTTTACATAAATAGACAAATTTATATAAATAGAAAATATTTTCAATTTAGTCAGTGATGAATAAATATTTTTTCATTGTATTAATTGAAGTAGATTTTAATAATTAACTTTAATTAGTACTTTTATGAATACTTATTTTCATACTCTGCCCAGGTCACTTTTATGCTTTCTGCACGTAATTGGGATTAATGTGCTCTGGGAAAACTGATATTCATTTCTTAAAGAAAAGATTTATTTATATCTATAAAATTCTTAACTAAGGAAAGATGGTTCAAAGGCAAAAAATACTTGGCCAAGTAATTTAAGTTCATACCTTCTATTTCTATTCTAATTCCTTTTTAGAGATGAGAGAGGGAAAAAAAGCCAACATAGTTGCAAAATACTTGCGCATTGATTTTAAAATGAAAAAATAGTTATTGCACAAGAGCTTTATTTGCTAACTTTTGCAAATTAAAAAAATTAATAGTAATAATAAAATAAAAAATAAAACTTTAATTTTATGCATAAGATTATAAAACTATATATATTTTTTTAATTTTGAAGTATTTGAAAAAATGTAAAAAATTGTTCCATTTTTGTTCCATGTATTATATACCGGAGTATTTTAAGTGTGCAAATTCTCTGTGAACATTTGAGCTACTATTTGAATTCTTCCTTTTTTTATTGGATTGAATTTATCCTTTAAGTCTAATAGTAGATTTAGTAACTAGTCAATATTTTGGCGATCAGATTACATGATAGGAATTATGATTTGGTGATTTGTGAATTTAATGATAGCTTTTTTTTAACAAACTTAATAATGTTATTATGATAACTTTAAAATAAGCTATCCTGATTGGTATAGTATCTAGTATTGTTAGCTGCTGTATCATTGGGCATGGGTTCGAATCCCGGAAAAGGCTTAAATGCTTATAAAGTACTGAAGATGTATATGGCACCCATGCCATATACATCTTATACCCATGCCATATACATGGCAATCAAAATGCACAGTAAGCCAAAAGTCATCTTGTATGGTTTAGTGAATTAGGTTTAGCGAAAGGACAAGGTTAGTTACCCCTTTTTTTTTGTGTGTTTTGACTCTTTCAGTCTTGGAAATAAAATTGGAGTCAGCTTTTCAAACTTCTATATTTATAACCCCAAACTATCAGCCTAGTATTCTACACCCTCTACTTTTTGATCACTTTGCTTTCACAGTCATCAAATCCTTGGCTATCCCTTAATGGTTTATTTTGGGACATTGAGTGCTTTATGAAACTTAACTGTTGTAGTGGTAAGGGAATGAGGCTAAATTGTTTACATTACTAAGTGAAAAGCTTGTTTTGTAAGCTGTTGAAAGAGGGTTTTTTTGTTCCTATTCTACACATTCACACTTGACATGGGTTTCAGGAATTATTTCAACAAGAGGTGTTGCCCTCCTGATTTTTTCCACCCGACAGTGCTTTGTGAGCTTTTGTGAGCTTTGGTAATCTATGTAACAAAATATGTGCTTCGTCTAAGTAATAATATTTTTAAAGCAGTATTTGAAAGCTAATATTTATAAGAAGAATTAAATGAATATGTAAATGCATACACTTAAGAAATAGATAATTGTGAAACATGTAATCTGAAATCTGTATGATTTAGTAACAGTATTTAGTTAGTTACATTCAGTGAAAATAGAATATGTGCTAGAATATTGTTATAGAATTTAGCATTAATAGTTTTTATTTGAAGTTAAAATCAGTTAGTGACAAAAATAAAAAAAGTTATTTCCCTTTTGAAGCTAACATTTATATATTGCAGCATTTTTTGTCATAATATATCGCATTAAAAGTGCAACATATGACAAAATGTTAGTGTTTATTAACATACTATTAACAGCTTAAGCCAATTTAGGATATTAGATATGTGTTCAATTTTAAAATGTAGCAAATATTCTTCTTATTTTATTTACATACAAGTTATTTTTTATGTGATGCATTTATTCAATGTACTTGAGAGCCACAGTAATTATTACAGACTAAATTTATGAATTCCAGTTGTTTTGAGAAATGAATATTAAAATGTGTCATTTTAATTTCCTGTGACACAGTATTAATTTCAAGCAAAGTAAAATATGCAACCATCTGAATCATAATTGCATTTATTATGTACTTGGTAGCAATACCTGCAAATAGGAGTGTTTCTTTTATTGTGATATCTGAATGAAAGTAGTTTAAATTTATTTTTTAAGCAGTAAGTAAAATTTAAATATTTTAATTGAATTTTAATAAAGCAATGAAGGGGCAAAAATTAATGTCTAAATTAAATAAAATCTTTGCTTTTCTAACACAAAATTGGCTTGGATTTGATTATGGCAAAACACATTTAAAGCTCAACTATTCAGAAAACTCAGGAAATGCTGAATTCTGGATATGTGTAAATTCTAGATAATTGAGTAATAAGAAAAATGGAATTCACATTAGAAAAGCCAAATTATTAGGAAAAATTTCCACTCTACAATTACAAAAACAATCATCTTATTTGTTACCAACTCAAATATCAAAAACGTGCATTAAAGAGTTTTTCAGATCTAAAACATAATGTGTTTCTTTCCTTTAACATGAAAATAAAACTGCTGATCCGATTACAATATCCTGCTGAATATGAAAGTTGGGAGAGATGTCGCCAATCATTCTAGCTAAAGCTTAAATGAAGAGATCATGCTTTATTTAATTAGATAATAAATAGATACAAATTATGGATATAGCGTACAAGAATCTTAAATTGCTTATCATAATTTTACACATTACATTACATTGTTTATATATATATATATATATAATTGACTTTAAAAATGGATAAAAGATGTATATATATATATTTCCCATGTTCCTGGATTCTTTAAGTTTGAAAATATTCCACTGCATGCTGTTCCAAATATGCAGTAATTATTTTTTTAAGATGCAATGAAAAAATGAAGCTTATAACTTCCTTGTAAATATTAAATTATCTTTTTGTGAATTCATGCAGTGGATGGAACCTGGGATGGGCAAACTTTTTCGGTCGCGGACCAAAAATTGAAAAACAAAAAGTTTGGTGGGCCAAGATAAATTTTTTTAAAATTTTATAAACAATATACAAGTATTACTATTTAAATAGGTTAATGAGATTAATGAAATTGCAATTTCATTTTTAAAAGTTCCTTATATTGATGTTCGAAGTGAGATGTACTGTTTCTAAGGGACAAGGCTAAATGCTCATCTGTCAGTCTACTTCTGAATTAATTCTTTCTAAGGTTCATAGATAAAAACATTTGTGCCCATATATAAGGTGAAGCAAACATAGCACTGATTTTCTGGGCATGAAATATAAAATTTGGGAAACTTACTTTCGATAATGATTTGTAAAACTATAATTTTGGCATATTTAGAAAGAACTGCTTGAGATTATTGTTAGGTTGCAACTCAATTAATTCAAGCTGAAAATCTGACCTCCCTGCTTTACAATTTACATTGAAAGGCATGGTAAAAATATGCAATTCTGTTTGAATGTCACTGAAATCTTGAAATCTGCGTTCGAACTCAAAATGCAGTTTTTTTCAAGCCATCTTCATAATTCTTAAGCTTCTCTTCATTTACTGAAGGTCTTGAATTTAACCTCGGGAAATGAGACAAATCGTTCTTAGCTAGCTGCCCAGCAAACAGATAAAGTTTTAGTTTAAAGGCTTTGAGATGGGCCCAGATATTGTCGATAAATTGATTTTTCCCTTGCATCTGGATATTCAAGTTGCTCATATGACAAAGAAGATCTGTGAAAAATACAAAGTTTGAAAGCCATTCTGTATCTTCTAACATTTCACACTCCACAGAACACATGAAAGAACGATGCAATGTTGTCTTTCGGCTGCCAAAGTCGCTCGAAAACATATCCTGTACTAGCCACCTTACTTTCGTGTAATACAGTACATCAGAGTATTCAGAATACATGGACTGAAGAAAATCTCGGACTTGCCTGTGAGTAAGCCCACAAGATCAAATAGTATTTACAAGCTTCATGACTGTAGCAAGCATGAGTTTCATATTCAATGCAGTTTTACACAGAGCAACTTAAAGTATAACACAAATGTAGAAAAATAACAATTATTCCCTGGATAATTTTGATTGTAGAGTCCAAGAAATTCAGATTTATTTCCTGTCATATTTTGTGCTCCATTGGTCGTAATATTACATATATTTGTTATAGGCACTTTCAAAATTAAAAGCCCTTTCTGAAATTCACGAAAAATACCACATGCCCGTAGTAGTTCCCTTTAAAGAATGCATGCATGCTAGTTCTTTGGTAATTTCAAAGTTCTTGTCAACACCTATTATAAATAATACTAATTGTGTAGTATTATTTAGTATATTGGTGCTTTCATCCATAGCTGTGGAGAAAAATTTAAATTGGGCAATCTTTCATTCTAATTGTGATGTCAAATTTTTGCCGATGTCTTCGAATCTAGAAGTCCCCGTTTTTCGAAATAAGCTTACAGTATCAAAATTATTTTCATGTCTGCACTTGAAACATCACAAACTTGGAGCATGCATTGTTTAACGAATTCTCCATCACCGAGAGCTTTATTTATTTTTAGCAATATTGTATGCTACAATGTAACTTGCATATGTAGATGTTTCTTAGATACTGTTTACTTTCTCGAAAAAATTTTGTTGGGCTAATAATTTTTTACAAAGACTTTCTGCATTTTGTTTTCTTTCATATGTAGACATTGCTTTGTAATTGGAATTCTTATACTTAGATGGAAAATGACGGGAAATATACTGTTCTTTGAAGACTGCTACAGCTTCATTGAAGAAGAGACATGCTGGTTTATCTTTTACAACTGTTAAAAAATGTTTCCAGGTACATTCATCATTAAACGCACGACACTCTGTATCAGCTTTACATTTTTTGGTAGCCATTTTGGGGCTGAAATATTTTACGAATAACCCAAACAAGCACTAGCTACGTTATACTTTTAATTATTTCAACACTATTCACAATGATACTATATGTACGCAATCTTTCCATATGCAATCAATAATATTAGAACTTGCGCCAAAAGGAAAAGGCCACTGGCTGGAGCTTAAAATGCACAGTCTGCCGCATGTGAGGTCTAATTCACCTGTATTGGATTCCCATATGTCTACTCCCTGAGTAAGAGATAACGCTTGTTGGTGCCAATCTACAGCTATAACTAAAAAAGAACTTCCAATTTTAACACTTTACTGATTGAAAGCTGTCTGTGCTTTCTATTTCCGTTAATTTATGTTTTGTAGAACCAAAGTTGGCCTTTGTTCTACAAGTCATCAGTCCTTTGGAGAAAGGGAAGAAAAAATAATATTTAAATGAAGTAGAGTAAGAGATGGATATATAATACATAAATATATATTTCTTTTAATTTGCCTCGGACCGGCAAATTAAAATTCTGTCCTCGGGTCAGGTAGAACCTTCCGGCGGGCCATAGTTTGCCTATCCCTGCATTAAACCAAAGCCAAATTATAGTGATTGTATTGGGATGTCATACTTATCTATTATTGATACTAAATCAGTGTTTGGCGATAATGCATATATGTTAATAATATAACAAGCTCTATAATGGTATTATAAATTTCTCATTTACTAAAATTATAAAATATTCCTGTTACTTGAGCTTTCTGGTTAGTTGAATGGGGATTGAATAGAATCCTGCTGAATTTTGCTCGATTTTAAAATATATATATCAATTTAACATAATTGAATGTGCCTTCTTATTAATACTTTGAGTATTTTTAAGGTGGATTTCTACTTCAAAGCATTTACAACAACAAAAAAAGTTTTTCTATTAATTAAAAGTTAATGTCAGTATTAATTGTGATGTAATGACATGTGATTTTTATCTTTTATTTTAGTTTTTGCATGCAGATTCTACCTTCATTATAAATCTTTTAGACAATGGATTGGTCATGTGCTTGATCCATTTGCTACTCGCTTTATCTCATTCCTCTAAAATGTAAGTATTGAAAACTTATTTCTTTGAATGTATATACAGGAATTTTTGTATAAATAATCTTACTATGCAAATTCTGCACCATTTGAATAACTTTCTTAATTAATAATTAAAATTTGTTGTAATGGATAGAACTGTTGGTGAAATGATTGATAGTTTAAAATGATAGGCTGTATATTTTTTAAATCCCAGTTTTTTAAATAGTCAGTCAAGCGATTAATTATTGACATTAATTTTAGGAAGTTAATATTGTATTTTTCAAAGTCGTGTTTCTTCTAAAAGTATTGGCAATATAAAAAAGCAACATTTATGAATAAAAGCGCATAGTGCATTCCTTAAGCATGGTATTGGTTTTAAACGTTGCACTTAACGATAGTTATTTTATGCTTAATATCTATATTAATAATTGTTAATTTAATATTTATAAATCTGAAGATTTTGTTAAAGGAAAACAAAAATAAATGACTTAAGAATGATCATCAAACATGTGATGAAATTTCTGCATTTAATATTAATTATACTGAAAATCTGGATGTTTATATAAAAACCTTCAAAATTTTGATATGTATAGGTAAGCTATAATTATTAATTATGAGAGTGAATATAAAAATATTTAGGGCCAGCAGAAGTAGGCCTGAAAGGCATGCATCACCCACAAAGGAGCATTGATCGATGGTTTATAGAAGTACCAATTTTTACTAACAATTATTTTTATAAACTATTATACAGAAATTATTTTAAAAAATTATGTAGAAAAGATGTAATCATTCACGCATATTTTAACACAAATATTTTCATTATGAAACTGAGCTTCAGTACACATAAAGTATAATATGAATCGAAAATGCAAAATTTATCGCAGCTGAACAATATTACACCATTCTATATTAAAATGTGCTGGCGACTGTTTATTTGTTGATTTTGAAAAGTCACCATATGTATATTGTCACCATATTGTCCTTTTTAAAATAAAATACTTAGAATACAGGTGAGAAATTAACAACGAATGCTTCAAGTAGCATTAAAACTAATAGCCAAAACTTTAAATAGCATAAATTATTAAAATTATAACATTAGCTGATGCTAATGTTATAATTATGTTATTTGCAGCATTGTATTTTATATAGTATTGTATTTGTTTGTATTTTATGATGCATCACTCTTTTTTTTCAATATAAAGACAAAAGTCTACAAATATTCAGTAGTTTTTAAAGATATAATTTGATTTTCACATAATTCGGTCGGTAGGACATCAATTATTTTGATGCAGCCCCCAAACAGATTCGAAAAACATTTTGTAAAATTTCTCTAAAAAGCTAAGTTTCTGAACCTTGAGATTAATTTAGAAAAAATAATTCTATACATTTAAAAAGACCAGTGTCAATTAAAATTAGCTACTATAGGTAATTAAAAAATTACTAAATAGGAAGTTTTTGGATTGCAAAAAGTAAATTTGCTGACAAAAATTTGGCATTATTCTGAAATATTGGCAAGTGGCGAAAGAGTGCTGTTTTGCTGGATAGAATTATTTTTATTGTTTAATTAACTAAATTGAATAATTTGAAAAATAATTTGAAATTTTCTGTTGAATTTAGTTCTTCGCAGTAAAAGCATATACAGTCAAAAGTCGTTAATCCAGACTCGTCGGGACTTCGTCGATTCCGGTTTATAGATCATCAGTTTAAATCTGGTAAGATAGCATGCAGAAATTATAAAATTAAAAATATGAAACCGTAATTTATGAAATAAAGAACAATTATGATCTAAAGAGTATCAAAATTTACAAAAAAAAAAAAAAAAAAAAAAAAAATTGCAACATTAACTGAATTAGATAATTTTAGCTTAGCTTATACCATCCATTATACATTAAACGCGCATGCTAAATATATTTTGTGCATGCGCACACACATATTTACAGCCGTAAAGGTCTTATGTGCAGGCATCAATGTGGCGCATGCGCAGAAAGTTTGAAGCTTTGAAGTCCGGATTATAGATCATTCCAGATTATGGTGTCCGAATTAACGACTTTTGACTGTATAATATAAATTAATATTCTCTATCTGCTTATATTTTTCCTTTGAGTGTTGATATATAAAATATTTTAAATAATAATTAATTGTCTGTCTACAAAGATTTAGAAAGAGCTTTTCGACATTACATGTTTTTAGATAAGCATTTTCATATGCATTTTTTATCTTCAGAAATATGAGTTTAGAGATGAAAGATATTCTTTCTCATGCATGTGATGCTCTTAACTGATTTTTGTCAACCTGTTTCAGCCTTCATTTTCTCTGCACTGAGTATTACGGAATGCAAAGTCTAAAGTATTCATATAAGTCCAAATAATATTCTGCACTTGTATTATATTTCTGATATATGCACCTACATTTCTGGAGCAGACAGTTTCTGGAGAAAGTAGTGTTCTGTATAAACATAGATCATGGAGAAATTGTGTTTACTTAATTTATTAGAGGTTTTTTTAATGTTAAATTGCAATTAGCTTTTTATATAAATGTTGCAAAAATACAGTGAATCCTTTTTAGGTGATTTATACTCTTAAGAGGACTATCTCTGAAATGGCCTCTATTTTTGAAACCAGTTAAGTACCATTATTTAACATCACCTCTTTATGGAAACCATCTCCTCAAAAGATCAAAATCATCTGGGATCAATGGGTCCTAGAAAGGGTTTATTGTATTTAAAAGTTGATGTTTTTCATTGTATATTAATCTGTGCTTTTGTATATATATATTTTTTAAATACAAATTTGTTATGCACAATTATTAAATCTTAATGTAAAATTAAAAAAAAAAAAAAAAAAAAAAGGAACAAAAACAAATTATTCTGTTTTGAAAATTGTAAACATTAATCTAGAAAGGAAAACTGTCATCAAATCAATTAGACCATTGATTGAGAAAAAGCACACAAGAGCTATCTGCCTGGGAGAGGAATATCTTTACATATGGCCTACTAAGGGAAACTGATTCTCATTTTCTCTACAACTGAAAAGTGTCACAAAACTCCTATGGAGCTTGCCTTTTTGCTTTAATTTCAGTTGAGTTCCCGTTACCAGTGTTCTGTGGTGTTATGCACTCAGCCTCTGGAGGATGTTGATAAAGAAAAATAACTTCATATATTTAAGTTCGATGAAACCATAAGACATGTCAGTTTGAACACAAGCATAATGGGAAAATCACACATGCCCAAATAAATTCAGAATTAACCTATTTTATATATTTTTGAATACTTTGTGCACTTAATCTGAAAGTTTTGAATAACAGAAATAGACACTGACGATGTTTGCATTTTTGTCAGGAGGTAAAAATGAAAATCTCCTGGAAAATGATAGACTTACATAGTGCTGAAGTTTTAGAAGTCCAATTTGACAAGATTATAGTACTGAAGTCTATTCCTATATAGTTAGCAAATAGACCCACATAGTACTGAAGCCTACTATGAGATACATTGTTAAAAGCTATGAGAAAGCTAATTAAAAAAAAATAATTAAATAAAAACTTTGAATGCTTGTTAATTTGTCTTAAAATTTAACATTTTCTAACTGAGCGATTTAATTTTAATATCTTTAATATCTTTTTACTTATCAATTTAGAAGTCAAAAAGGTCATTTAGAATCTTTCTGTTCTAGTTAACAATCCTAATTCCAATCCATCTTTACCTTCAGCTTTTAATGAAATTATGTCTTAGTTTTCTTGTTCTATCAATAGATAGCACTAGTAGCTTAACTCCTATCTAGCCATTCTTATCTTATCTTGTCTTATATTTACACTATATCTTATCTCGTTCATTTGAGTAGTGTTTAGCCCTAGCATGGTTTATGCTTCATGCATGCACAATGATAAGCTTTGTTGGCGTTATTGTCTGGTGCCGTTATACAGTATTATCATGAGATCAGGCAATGTATCATGACATTGGCAAGTAAAGACGTTGTTATTCCGTTAAAGTTTGTCATGTTGCAGAAATTAAGCCTGAATAAGAAACTTGAAGCGTTGAAGAAGTAGTTACTGATTTCATATATTTAGCGTGATTAGTATGGATGATAGTTTTGTATGTTTGAAATGTTCGAAGACCTATTTTGGATTACTACTAAGGTAAGATAATGTAATCAAGAATACGAAAAGAATTGACTAAAGTATGTTATTTTGCTAAATCCTGTTAAAAGATGAACTTTTATGATAACTGTAAATATGAAATAAAAAACAAATTCGTAAAATGAGGTTAAACATAATTGATTATGTTAAGCTCTCAACAATTATTTGCCTAGAATGAGATATGCCTTTGTAGAAAGCATGAATTTGAAAAGAAATTTTATGATAACAGTAAATATAAGATGAAATATCAAACAAAAGTACATTTGGAAATAAATGTAAAATACAGTTAATTGATTATTGCACATTAGGAAAACTTGCAGCATTAATTTAAGCAGAGAAAGTTTTAAACACAGCTTAAATTAACGCTGCATAAAATCTACATGAGTGAAAAAAAGAATGTCTATTTCCCAATATCCTTTTTCAAGTCCCCAGTAAGTCAATTGCTCACATAATTGGGCACAAAGTTAACAAATTCTGCAGCATTTCACTTACACATCATTGAAGTCTGAATTGATATCATTGCCAAGCCAAATATGCATAAATGTTCTTTAATCAAGCGATGAAGGTTACCATGCTAAAAATATGCCTATTGCGCATGCGTGAGGCATAAACCATGCTAGGGCTGGATGCTAATATTCATTTGCACTTTGGTATCTGAGGGTGATCAAAACTAGTCCTGTGAAAATTTGCAAAAATAACGCTGATTTTTGTTGTTTGACTTCTAAATTAATATTTGTTTGGCATGGAATTTTAACCTAAATCTTTTTACTTGTTGATGCTACAGCCAGAGAATTAATTATTTTAAAAAACAAATTTAAGATTAAAAATAAATCATATGTATGATGTTGAAAGACACACAAAAGAAAAATCTCATAACTTTTACATGGATAACAAATAAAAATTACATTTTGATCAAGATATTTAAAAGAAATCCCACAAAAATTTAAGTAAAAGATGTTTTTGAAGTATAATTTTATTGCTTGATCCTCCTCTAAAATCTCTTGCAATTGATAAAGAAAGCAAACTATTAAAAATTTGTGAGACACTTCATTTCTGAATTTGTAGGGGGTATCTAACATTCTGGCACCAGTCCTGTGAATATAAATTTCTATTATCTTTTAATCTGATATATTTTAATGTTAACAAAACTTGTTTAGCATCAACTTAACATTTTTGTTTTCTCATACCAGTATTAAGCTCTGTTAAACTTTAACCATTTTCTTCAAATAGGGTAGTGGAAAAAATACCATGAGTTTTTCTCTGCTCTGAGTATTAACCTTTTAACTGTCATGCCTGAGATTATCTCGGGCACAGCACTGGTGTTCGAAAATGTCACGCCCGAGTATTTCTCGGGGTAATTTTTTTTTTGAGTGCATCGTATTGTCATACCCGAATATATATCGGGAGATGTTTATTTCGGCTACATTTGGTTTTTCCAATAAAAAATTTTGACAATTTGTGTACCCAAATCATCAAAATAACTTGACAGTTAAAGGGTTAAAAATGTGCTCAGACTAGCCTTTTAGTTTTCATTTTAAAAGAATTTGAATTCTTACAGTCTAAATGGGGAGGACTTTCTTTTAATTTTTTTTCCCCCCTCTCTTCTGATTTTTACACTTAAGCGTACATATGACTTCTAATTTTCTTGTTTCAATAAATTCAAAATAAGAAATTTTAAGATCATGAAAGGGTTTATTGTTTATACAAAAGTTTCTATTAAATTTTATTCTTTGATAAATTAATATTCCATCATTGCTTTTATAACACTTTCAACTGCAGTAAATTATTTGTACTTTTTTATAGATCAAAAAATAATCATTCCCTCTTAGAACTGAATTCTTGTCTAAAAGTTATTGGCACCATTTTGCAGTTATTAGCTAGTGAGCTTTGCAGGTAAGAAATTAGAAAAATTAATATATTTAATAATTTATAATGTACTTAATTTTAAGCATTTTTCCTATTAATAAAACTATTTTAATGCAGATTTCTTGCACTTTACAAAAGTTAAATTAGTGAAAGCTTTAACAGAAAAGTGCATTTCTGTTAAAGCTTGTAAGCTGAAATGGCGTAAAGCAAAGAAGTAATTATTATTAATTTATGTGGGGAAAATATCTTGAATATTCCCAGGCTATTCTCCTGACCACCATCCATTCCCTGATTTTCAGGGGAAAAATTCTAATGAAGAAACAAACTTAAAGTAACACTAAAAGTGAAAATAATATAATATATATACAGTCTATAGAAATAGAAATAATCATATTCATAATTTAATTTCATCTTCCAAATTTGATGAAAATAATGATAGAATACTAAACTGAAGTATTATTAGATTTGGAAGTGGAAAATATGTGATCAAGGTGTAAGAAAATTAGGACAAAATCATCTTAAAAAATCTCATTGCTTATATCTGCAGATCATATGTGCAAAATTACTTTACGTACTTTTCCATTGTTGAAATTCAAAATTAGTATTCTGCTCTTGCTGATATGAGTGTGAAATATGTTTATCTGCTTTTTTTTTTTCTCAATTAAATTCAAACCCTTATTGCAATTGTTGCCTGAAACAAATGTTGAATTACATTTTCCCATTTTTTCCCCTTAAAGCAAAAACTCCTTAAATTTTTTTTATTAAACTGGAAAAGTATTAATATATATATTTTGTAAAACTGAAATAACATTAGGTGAACTTTTTTAAAGTGGAAGATACTTATGGAAGATTTTATTAGAATCTATATTTTTTCATGCATTTTTTTAAATTTATTTCTTACATTTTTATTACTCTTTGTAATGCAGCTCCAAGCATTTTAAAGAGTTTTTGGCTTTGCGTGATATTTTGCATCTTTTTGCTGTATTTGAAAGCAGATGTGGGGAAGAATGTGGTATGTAATTTTCCTTTTGCAGATTCAATTAAGTATATATTACATGCTATATTATATATATATATATATATATAATTTTTGCTATTGATTAACAAGAATATATTACACATACATATAACATATATATATATGTGTGTGTAATTTTTACTATTGATTAAATGTCAGAATCCACATCTTAGATTCACTTTTGCCTTTAACATATGCTGATAATTGAACCATTTGAGATACTCATTTTTTAATAGTAATAATTTCCTTTACATATATCATGGATGTTTATGTAAATTTTGATCTTATAATTGAAGCTGTGCTCTTACAAAGTTTATAATAGGAAACTTTAAATAAGTTAAATATATTTTTGTAATGTAAGATGCAGTAGCAGTTGTGTCTGATATCTGTTTTCTGCCTTCACAGTGAATTAAATGCATAGAAGTATTTTCTTTGTTTTTCATATATCAGCCATATATTTTCCAATTCAAAGATACATGCTAAATTGTTAAAAAATCTTACCTGTGTATTTACATCAAAGGATAAATAATTGTGTTAAGTCTGCAAGTTTTGACATATTAGACGAACAAATAAAATCAGTTCACACATTTGATCTCAGTGACTAACTGTAACAATAAATATATGTAATTGTATATAGAATGAAGGCTCTTGAAAATAACCTGGTAAAAATTGCTGTCTCTAAAAGTTTGGAAAATTTTTAAAAAGCTGTACGAGATGTTTGTCGTTATGAATCACCAAAGGATCAGTTTAAGTATCTTGATTTAGTGAGCTCAAGGTTAAAGATCAGTATATACATAGCACAGAGGTGTATTAAAAATTTTATCAATGAATTACCATGTCATTTCAAAATTGTTATTTTAAAATATAAATATTTTCAGATTTATATTATTTATGTAGTGCATTTAAAAATGTCTGTCATTGTTATATACCTGATGTTTGTATTATTAGAGTGTAGGAACTCAGTATTTCTATAATTTTTATTACTTCTCCCCTCTGTATCTAGCAAAAGCTGTATTATTTCTGAAGAGTACTGTCAATTGTTATAGTTTTTTGAGGAATCATATAGTGATTAAATTTAAGATACTCTTTGGACTGGTCAGTTTATTTAATAAAAGTATTGCTAAAAATATAAAAATAAAAAATAATAATTTTTTTTTTTTTTTTTTTTTTTTGAAAAATAATTTGTGAATAAAAATTTTGAAAATAAATTTTCAAGAAAAGAACTTATTTCTGATGTATGATTTATTTCTTAGTAAATTAATTACAATGTAAACCTAAAAAATACTGTAATTCAAACATTGCTATTGGGTTTACTGTGTAAGATGAATATTTTGTGTAGAATTCCAAGTAGTATTTTAGAAAATTAATATTTTGGTTAGTTAAATGATGACTTTACTAAGAGAGAAGTCAGAAGACATTAAACTTAAAAACAAAGATGGAAATAATATATATATAACTATCCTGTAAGATATGAATATAAGTGATTTTAGTCTAAAACTTGCATATTGTTTGTTCTTAATATGTAATAAAGAATATTATTTAAGTTATATATATCCTGAATAATTGCAAAATTATGTAGATGATGATTTAAAAAAAATTTCAGCATGATTGCTGATTAACGTACTAAATTGATTTAAATATTGTGATGCTGTTCCTTGGCACAACTATCATGCACTACTAATTTTGAAAAATGGTATTTTATGTCATATTTAGTTTATGAAACAGATGCTTTCATATTTATGCCAGTTTGAATCTAAATTGAAGATACTTTGATTTGTTTAAGTATTTACTCCTCTAATAGGGTTTCAACAAAGTCGGTAGTTCTTCCGATTGGTATTTTCTCCATATTGGTGTAATCTGATGTCTGTAGTTATTCACAAAAATAATAAGCAATTTGTGAAGCAGAAGTGTAGCTTCAGATGTTTTGTTTTTGCATTCTTGCATATGAATTTAATTTTTTCAGATAAAATTTATCTTCTCCTAAGTAACTATGCTGTTTATAGCAGCATGGTATCAGCTTTAATATTATTTAACTTTTGATAGTTTGCATCCTCTGTTTTTTTAACTTATTTTTTAACTATATTTAGTGTTATGTTATATATGTGATAATTTTCAGTTATTGATATGTGGGCTTGAATATCTGAATAAGAACAAATGCATACTTAAATGAAATGCAACCAAATGATGAATTAATGGTACATGCACAGATAAGTATTATGGATGTGAAGTCCGATTGGTTTTGGTCTAATAAAAGTACTTGTCCCCAGAGGTTTGGAGCTCTGCTGGACGTATTAGCTCTAGAATTGCCACAGTTATTTTTTTCATCTGCATTTTTTATATCTGGGTTTTTTGTATCTGTGTCCCATGCAGTAAAGCCTCTCAATGCTCATAAAGGCTCACCTGCTGTTACTGGTGCCTTGGAGGACGTAGTGAGTTTTGAACCATATAAGTATTTTTCATAATCAGTAATGTGTAATTTGGGGATGTGATATTTTTGTTATAAGAAATTAAGTAATGTTTTTCTTTAGGTCTTAATGCTCAATGTGTAACCTGCTTACGTAGCTGTCAGTGTGTAATGTTCCAAGTTGTTGTAAATTTTACTGAGATGTACAGTTCTTATTCATCAAAATCTGGAATTTCATTTCTTTCAGGTAAGCTAAAATAATGTGGTAATTTTTATAACTTGCAAGAATCTGAATTATTTATTTATAGTTATGATTATAATTTGCTTGCATATAATGCATAATATCTTTCATTAAAAAAATTAACCCTTTCTTAAAGTACATGAATTCCTTGTTTACAGCTCACAGTGATGCAACTGTACTTATTATCACTACTGCATTCAATAAAATTAAATTTTGAAAGAAACCAATTATTTAGCAAAACTGGAAATTACCTGATTTCTACCTAGCTCATGTAATAATTAAATTAACCTGCTAATAATGAAAGGATGAAAGTGTTATTTAAGCAAGATATTTGTGATTTTTTAGAATATAATTTGCAATAAATTTGTTTCATATTTACTGTAGCTGCCTTGTCTTTTCTGTGTCTTGATAAAAATGCTCAAAGATAAAAGTATAGCTTTATCGGGGGGGGGGGGGAGTCACATTGAGGTTTTATTTTTTTTTTTACAAATTTTCCAGTTATTTAAATTTCCAGTTATTTAAATTAAAATCCAGTCACATTGAGGTTTTATTTTTTTTTTTACAAATTTTCCAGTTATTTAAATTTTGCAGACATTTTAAAAACAAAATACATTACTAAACATTCTAATATCAATAATTCAGAGAAATAAATTTGCTTAATGGCTTTTTAACTGAAAACTAAGAGTTCAGATATTTATTATACCAGTCATATTAATTAATTTTAATTGCTAAGAAAATTATGCAAATTGTGCTTCAAATATTTTATGTTAAATTTTCCATTCTTTTGCAGTTCTTTTCTGTAATTTTTTGCAATGCATAATTTATCATGAAAATTAATAAATAAATCTGCATTTATCTAGTTGAAACAAATTGTTAAATTTGTTGTATTCCTTTGATTGCAAATTTGTAGTTTTCAACCAGTGTTCTTTTTCAAAAGGTTAAATTAGTACGTAGATTTACCATATCTCATAATTATACTGACAGGAAAATTAAAGGAACAACTATGAAAAGGCACTTTGTTAAGTGAAATCCAATGAAAATAGTTAAGCTGTTAGTTCAAAATCAGGGTTATCAGATAGTCAAATAAAATTCACCTTTGCTTGCATAGGAAATGTTCAAATGTTTTTGCTTGTTCTTTTGGCACATGTGAAGGAGTGAAGTGCAAGTGGGGGCTTTGAATTCTATTTTCAAGTTTCTTGTAAGTAGTTCTGTAAAAGTTTCAGATAGGGAAGGTGAAACACATCATTGATATGGTATTTCATGGATTGTGAAAAATGGCATGTAGTTGGGAGAATGGAAACTGGACAGACACTGAGGTCTCTAAACACCTAAAAGTAACCAAAACCATCATACAAAGAATCTGGAAACAGTTAAAAACACTGGTGATATATGCAGATAACCAGATCAAGGTCAAGAACTTGCCCCAACAAACTCTCAGAACTGTTATTTGGCAATGATTGCTAAAAGGAATAGACAATTAATATCAGCCCATATTGCAAGGAATTTTGCAGCAACTTTAGGAACTCAACTATTTACAATCACAGGCAGCGTTCAAGATATGGCAAGGAAGCCAGTGATTGTGTCTTGCTGATTCAGGCTGTGAAATGAACACAGTTGCAGTGGTGTAGAGATAATCATAATTAGAGTGCCGTGGACTGGAGCCATGTTTTCTTTATTGATACATCTCATTTTTATTAAGAACATTATTCCAGACTTGCTACAATCTGGTGGGGGTACAAAACATATGCAAAGAGCTTGAAAAATCTATGGGAGGCATGGATACAGAGGTGGTAGAATCATGGTATTAGCAGGTATAATTTTTAATGGTTACACTGACCTACGTATTTTTACCACTGCAGCTATGAATGCCCAAATATACAGAGGTTAAATTTTTTATCCTTGTATAAAATTGTATAAGTATGCATTTGGTAACATCTTTCTACTAATTAATGATTCTCATCCTCATCCATGTTGCACTAATGATTGATTATCTTGAAAGCAAAAAAATTTAGAGTTCGGAGTGCCTCACATTTTCTCAAGACTTAAATCTATTGGAACATGTGTAGGACACCAACTTTCATTTTTGTTACCCTTATTTTAGCACTCTATAGTAGCTCAAGGTATTATTCATCGTGACTACACTTTGCTACTACAGGACAGTTTAATACACAGTTTGGAAAGCTTATATTTCAGTCAAGAGTGACCACACACTTCATTTATTTTTTTCTATATATCTCTAAAATTCCATACAAGAACTTTGCTCCCCATTTCATATCTCATTCCCATTGTTCTTATTTAAATTATCATTTATTTATTTATTATTTGCAAAAGCATTCATTTCTGCATTTTGAAGATGCATACGCATGTCAAAAATAAAGATCTTTTGTAAATTCCATGCTCTGAACTGCAAAATCATTTAAGTGACATAAGTTTTTATAGTTCATTTAATTTTTTCTCCTCATATATTATTTACAAAATGTAACAATTGTCTATTTTGTGATGAGAAATTTTGTCTATTGTTGTTTACATTTGTCCTAGCTGAATGATTTTTCTAAGTTTTACTAAATTTTCTGCTGGCTGCTAGCTTGTGTAAGTAAAATTTATATTAATTGTTATTAATTCAGTAATTTTAAAATCATTTAGCTTTATACAGGGTGATTCTTTTAGAACTGACCTATTTCATCGGGCTGTAGTCTTGTTAAAAAGTATCCGATTTTAATGCGGCTTGCAGCAAAAAGATGAAAGGAGGAGGAAAATTTAGTGGTCTGTCCCATTTTTTGATGTGCAACACCAAAAAAAGATGAAATAAGGAATAACGAAACCCACGAAATTCTATACAAGGAGGGATAGCTTGTGCCTCTGAAACGTTGCTAAAAATTCTGATTGCTATGTGGCATACCAAACATGACTAGTAAAGGTTTGTAACGGTTATAAAGGTTTATAATCACTTACCTTACAATAGGTGCTGAAAATGACCACCCTACTGGCATAAGCATGACCTAACTCACCAATCCATGTTGGCTGCAGCACTGCGTAATGTGTCAGCAGTGATGTTTGCAATTTCCCAAGTAATGCTTGTCTTTAATTCATCCAGTGTCCATGGTGTATTGTGATAAGCACGAAAGGTCAAACTATTCTAACTTCAACAGTATGCAGTCTCTCTTGTATGGAATTTTGTGGAATGTTGTGGTTTTCATTATTTCTTACTACTACTACTTTTTTTGCCATTGTACATGAAAAGATTAAAAATAGATACTTCCAATGATACTCCAAACTACATCCCAATGAAATAGGTAAGTTCTAAAAGGGTCACCCTGTGTAATATTAGTAAAAGTTTTATAAAATATTCATATTTTCATAAATGACAGATTTCCTTTTAGAAAGAAAGCAATATATTTAAATTGATTTATACACAAACATACACACACACACACACACACACACACACACATGTATATACACTGAAGAGCCAAAAAAACTGATACTTCTGCCTAATATCAGTTAGGGCCCCGCATGCACTCAGAAGTGCTTCAATATGACATCGTATGGGCTTGACTAATATCTGAAGGTGTGTTGGAGGTAATTCAAACAATGAATTCTGTAGGGCAATTCCCAGGAGTGCAAGTTGGTGGCGATCTCGTTTGAACATCATGTTGCATGGTATTTCAGATATGCTCAATGATGTTCAAGTGTGGGGATCTATGTTGCCAATGGACATGTTAAAGCCATATATGTGTTCCCGGAGCCATATATGTATTCCTTGTTCCTTGGACATGTTAAAGCCATATATGTATTCTTGGAGCCATTAATGTGTTAAAGCCATATATGTGTTCCTTGGTAGCAACTCTCAATCTGTGGGGTGTTGCACTGTCCTGCTGGAATTGTGAAAGTCTGTCGAAATGCACAATGGACATGAATGAGTGCAGGTGATTGCACAGATGCTTATGTATTTGTCACATGATGGAATGGTGTCTAGATGCATCAGGGGTTCCCATATCAGGACAGAGCCTCTACTAGCTGCAATAGTCCCCCGCTGACATGTAGGGTCCATGGATTCATGAGTTTGTCTCCATACCCATTCACATCCATCCACCTGATACAACTGCAACTAAGACTCGTTAGAATAGGCAATGTATTTCCAGTCATCAACAGTCTAATGGCAGGCCCAGGTGAAGCAAAAAGCTTTGTATTGTAGAGTCAACAATGGTACAGGAGTGAGCCTTCGGCTCTGAAAGCCCATATCAATGATGATCCATTGAATAGTTTACATAATGGCATTTGTTGATGCCCAAGCATTGAAATCTGTAGCAATTTGAGGGAGGTTGCATGTATGTTACATTTAATGATTCTCTTCAGTCCCATTCTTTAATGAGCTTTTTCTGGCCTCAACAATGTCAGAGATTTGGTGTATTACCAGATTCCCAATATTTATGGTACACTTGTGAAATGGTCATATGCAAAAATCCAAATTTTATCTATTACAGAGCTGTTATGTCCCATCTCTCATACACTGATTGTACACCATGTTCAAACTCTCTTAAACCTTCATAACCTGGCATTGTAGCAACAGTAACTGATCTAACAATTTTGCTAGACACTTGCTGTCTTATATAGGCACTGCCAACTGCCACACTTTATTGTGATTGGTTTCATACTTATGTACATCTATGCTGGTTTCTCAGCCCTTCATTGTGTGTGTGTACATATACATGCACAGTTATAAAATCACCCATTTCAATAGCATTTCTTTTTAAATAATTTTCCATTACATTAACATTTGCTTATCATTTTCTAGGAGGTAATCATATTGAAACCAATTATTAAAATATATGTATACAGGGTGGTTATAAAAGCTTCCCCAGTATGTGAATCACTAGCCGCTATCCACTCAAGCAATCAAAATAAAATTTCAGATATTGTTTTTTGAAGGTATGCACTCAAGATTGTGATGATATAAAACAATAGAGCTCTCGTGGTTACAGTTACAGGAAAAAAAATTTGAAATT